ATTGAATATTTAAACAGAACACTTTGTGAATCACTTGCTAAAATAAAGGAAACAGATAAAGATTATTAGAATATTTATATACCTGCTATTCTTTTAGTATATTGAACTAAGAGACATATTACAACTAGTTATATACCTTTCTAGTTAGTTAATAGAAGATAAGTTACTCTATCTATCAAAATTATTTTTCTTACTAAACTATTATCAGACTCTAATACAGAAATAGACTTATAAGATAGTATATTGCAATGAGCTTATAATCTAATAGAAAGCTGTTTTAAATATAAAAAAAAGCTCAAATAAGTACAGAAAAATCACAAAATAAATAGAAAAAATATTTTAATACTAGAATTAGATCTAAAGAATTTGAAATTAAGTAAAAGAGTTTAAATATAATTAAAAGCTCTAGAAAAATCAAAATCAGCTAAATTTGAAGACAAAAGAGAAGAACCTATATTATTCAAGTAAAATTAAATAATAGATTTATAGACTATGAACACTAAATAGAAAATTTTACAGAACAGACAGCTTTCCCCAATGATCACTCATACTAAACTTTCAACTAACAAAAATGGAAAACTTGTTAATGAAAGTAAAAGAGACAACTAAAATAATAGTTTTTATAGAGGTCAAGGCTTTTGATTGTTTTCTTCCGAACTCCTTTGTATATTTAGCAAACAAGTTAAAAGCATTCTTGTACAAGATAACTAGCAGGAGGTGGTGCTTTTATACAAAAAATTTTAATAGAAGTATAGCTTCTGCTGATGAAATTAAAGTTAGCTAATCTAAAAGAGAACAATAAGCAAGTTTTTAACACACTCCCTATTGAAGTTTAAGAATACCTGTAAATCAAAACCCTCTACCAAGACTCTACTCTATATTCTTTACGAAATTTTAATAAAAAGTAAAAAATACAGAGTACTTTATCAAAAAATCGACAACAACAATTGCTACCAAAAAAAAAAAGTTATATACAGGAGTACATGTCTACTTTGGAATAAAAAATATGTTGATCAGTTATCTCAAGAAGTTGTAGTATTTATATTGAGATTGTTAGAAGCTAAAAAATAATAGCAGTCATCAACTTTGTCCAGAGAACAAGCAATTGCACACAAGAATATATTGCAGGATACCGTACCAAAAATCTGGTAGGACTGCAAAATAAATTTCAAACTTGGATCTCTACTCAAAAGTGGATATTTTATATATTCTAATATAAATATAAATAACTAGTGTAGAGTTTAGTCTAGTTTATTTAGTAGTACTATATAATTTTTATAATCCAACATAGGTTTAATAGTGCTATCTTTGTTTTCTTTTCTTTTATTTTGTTTTTTCTTGTTTTTTCTTTTATATGTTATTTTGTTTTTTTTTGTTTAGGTAGATCGAATTTGGACACTGAGGTATTATCTCTTTTTTTCTTTTTTTCTTTTTTGCTCTTTGAATTTGTGTTTGTATTTTGTTTTGTAAAAAAAAAAATGATACTGATACGGCTTGTGGTACTGGCCAATGATCGAAGGATTTATGCCTCTAGTAAGTTAAGGGCCCAAAAGGAAGTAAATAGCCACTAGGTAATATTGCATCTGGGCTTTTAAATCGAGTAAGTTACTGGTTGTAGTTAAAAAAGTAACTAGTTAAAAATTCTTGTAATTTTTGCTTGATTAATATTTTAATAAAGCAGTGGCAGACATGCTGAAAAAAAAAAACTTTACAGAAGTATTATAATAGTAATTGACTAGCAAAATACTATAAGAAACAAATATTTAAACTAATTATTATGATCAAAAATCCTTAATTTCTAGAAAAAATTTTATTAAACAAGAAGAAACAAAGACAAAATTTTGCAAAACAGATAATTATATAATTTTAAAAATTATAAATAGATTCTTTATTCAAAAATTCACTAATTTATATACAATATACAATTAACTATATATAATAATACTTTGCAACCTGTAATTATTCAAGCTTTTTAATATTTTACTATTTGAAGACAGGATCCTGCTATCTAAAATAATTTAAAAATTTGTTCTTCTAATATTTTTCTTGAAATTCTAATAACCTTAATGATACTAGTGATATTATCTTTCTAAAAAATACTATAGTAAATATTCTATTTGAATTTATTGATATAGAAGTCTTTTTGAATAATATTCTAATCAAAGAACTAGAAATAAACTCAATTTCAAATAATCCTCTATCTAATATAGAACTAGAGGTGAATTTAATTTCAAACAATTCTTTTCTTGAAACAGAACCAGAAATAAAAAGTTCAAAATGAATTAACTTAACCTCTAAATTTTTAATTGCATAATTATCTAACTCTTTTATTAGTAGAATTTGAAAAGATCAATTAACTAAAATTCTTTGACAACTAGAAGATAAAGACTAAACTTAACTTAAACAAATAAAGATTATTAAAGCTAATCTGTACTTAGAAATTCTTATTTAAAAGCAATCTAGTAAATGATAACAAATTCATAAACTTATTTAAGCTTTATAAGACTTCTGAAAGACTCAAGATATTTGAAAAGAAGCTACTTAATTTTAACAAATCTTTAGTATTCTAATCTAAAAAATTATTGTATCAAATCTAATACTTTACCACAACTCATATTGTCAAGTTTATTAATAAAAAATATTAGTTTTTAATTAAAAATTTGTAAAGCAAATTTTTATAAAGAGATAAAAATATTATAGAACAGTTTATTATTTTATTAGTTTATTATTTTGATATTATATAATTATTATTATTTTATTATTTTACTATTTTATTATTTAGTTATTAGAGTAGAATTTAAAAGATATATATTATGCTTAGTATTTAATACTTAATAATTAATAATTAGCAATTAATAATTAATGATTAATGATTAGAGATTAATACTTAATATTTAATATTTAATACTTAATAATTAACAATTAACAATCATATCAACTGATTTGGTTTGGCCCCAAAATTAGCCAATCATGATTGAGAATTATTTGTTATTAAAATTTATTATAGAGTAAGTTTTTACAAAAACGGTTTTTTAAATTTACTTTAAATCCATAATTAAGTATATATAATATTGCAATATCTACATGTTTAATTATTGGCTAAAAGTAAGTTAAAAAGGCTATTTTTTTCAAAAATCATCTTCAAATTCACCTTTACCTATTATACAACTGATCAAACAATAACAAACCGATCATTCACTGTTTGAAAATACCTATACGCTTTAACAACTAGTGATAGTGTTTTCGTTATAGCTGAGAATAGCTGGTTTTTTTAGTATTTATTGCTTATTTATCTCATATAGAGGCTAAAAAAACATTTTTAATAAATGTTTTATTTGTTATTCTCATATCACTAAATAGCAAAAGTTTGTATAACAGTTTATCGAAAAAGATATCTAAAAATCAAATTGGTAAATATATTAATGCTTAATACTTAATGATTAGTGATTATATTTTATGCTTAGCATTAAGTTAACTATATTTAGCTACAATAATTAATAATTAGATCTAAAGATATAAAAAGAATGTAAATTTTTTCAAGTTAATATTAGACTTGCTTACTGTTTAAAATAAATACAGACTTCTCTCTTCTCTAAATTCTTTCTTGTAATATTATAGAATTTTTAGTAATAGGAATTTAAGAATAGTTTATCTTATTTCTTTTAATAAATATATATTTTATCTATAAACTATTGTCTGTTTGAAATATTACAAAAAGAAAAATATAATTTTTAATTAAAGCAAAAATTATACTTACTTGTTGAATATCATTATAAATCTGTGAAGGATTTCTGTAGCTGTATTATTGTTATAATACTGCTATTAAAAAGGTTACAGTACTATAACAATATCAAAATATTTTTAAAAATATTTTATCAACTATATAAAATTCTTTATATTGTTTGCAAAGAATTTTATATAGTCAGTAAACTATTTTTTAAAGATATCTCAATATCTATTAGGCTGATTGAATGATCTAACTACTATTAAATTTGTCTGATAAGCTTTACAACTTTATTTAAAGATTTAAAAGTGATTAACTTAAAATAAAAAAGTTTTTTTTGGACAATCACAATATTTTTGTTTACAAAATTTACATATAAAATCACATTACATTATACTATAAATATTCTTCAGTTTACTAGAGAATTATCAATTAAGATTAAAGTAAAACTAGCTTTAAAATTAAAAATAGTTTGAATTTATACTAAAATTTAGCAAAAAATATTTTTGTTATAATTTTAAAAGTTGAATTATAATTAGAATTTTAAAATATTAACAATCATAATTATATATATATATAATAAAAATAAAAATTATTTATCTTTAAAAATAAAATCTAAAAACTACTAAATGATTTAAATTAAATAATATTTATTCAAATTTAATTAAAATTTACAAAAGTATTAATTAGAGAATTTAAATAATCTGCAAAACCAAATATATAATAATAAAATCAAATTATAAATTAATTTTTTTAACTAATAAAAATTTTTTATTATCGAAATTAGTATAACAAACCATATCAAAATACTAGACATATACAAATAATCTTAAACTTTGGATGCAAAAAACATTAGGTTTAAAGCTTATTTTTTTTAATATATACAAGTCAAAATTTCTTAATAAAAACAATACTAAATTATAAACCAGAAATGCTAAATTTTGGATTTTTTAAATTTTCTTAAACCAGATAAAAGTAAGAATCATAAGGATATTGAAGACCATTATGATGAAAAAGCTAAGCTTTAACAATGCATAGTTTGTACAAGACGTTCATTTAACAAACAGATAAAACACATAAGGAGTCAATCTTGAATAATTCGATCTTTGAATGAAAACTTTGTTATTATTTGTTCTTTAATATTGTATGAGAAATTGATACAAAAAAAAAAAAGTTAAAATATTATGACGCACAATTACGATAAATCATATGTTAAAGCACCATGTTATTGTATTCATTGTAAATAAAAATAAGAAACCTAAAATTAAAAGCGGATCTACTTTTACTGGTATATAATCAAATAACTTTAGTGTAAATTTGTAAAAATAAAACGAAGAGCAAACAACTTGAATAAAAAGAAAACCTACATAATTTAACTGTCTTAAATAATCACCTAAGTCCCCAACAACTTTATTGGCGACACCAGCTGCGGTACCTTCAGCATAAGTCCCAATAATAACAGCTTGTGCTGTTTTCTCTGCAATAATACCATCGGCGCCCTATTAAAGTAACAAAGGTTTTGCTGTTGGTTATTATACAAGGCAATCAGAATTGACTAAAATCTCTGATTTGACCTGTTTGCCATGAATGTTTGTATCATCCTGGTGAGAAAGGAAAAAGTATTTGACACCATTGCAACGTATTCCATTTGCTTGAATTTTTTGGACATCATTAAAGGAATCGATGATAGTTTTGATTTCTTCGGCACTCGGCTAGTATATCAGGCAAAAAAAATTATAATGCATATTGAACTAAGCATTATGCTTAACGGATTATTTAGCATGATAATTCTTGATTTATCGTTATTTGACTATGAAGAAGTAACCTTTTTTCGCGATAACTAAATACTCTTTTTCGCGATAACTAAATATCAACCACTTACATTGAAGCCTGCAGAAGATGCCCACAAAGTACCATCAAGACCATAAATGGCAGCTTGGGCGATCTTGCCGGTTCCGAGGAGAGAATCGTCAATATATGTTTGCCACGACATTTCTTTCGTTTTCAAAAAGAGTAAAGCGAGTTAAAGAATAAGCAGTGGATTAAAGACGATTAAAATTTTCCAGTGTCACATATATTACATATGGTGCCATAGCATTAGACTGTAGTACGTACCAATCAACAACGTAATTTTGGTATAGATGTCGCTTTGGCCTGAGTTAGGGTTAGAGTTAGGGTTAGAGTTAGGGTCAATAGTTTAGGCTGATCTGTTAATCCTGGTCAAATGAGTATTATGCAACTGACATCTGACGCAAGTTAAGTATATACTAGTTCACGAATAAGCGACAGTAATTTTATATAAGATAGCTGGCCTTCGGCCACGGGATTTAAATATGAACTCGAGTGTAACCTGGTTATTCAATATACCTATACAATAACTAAGACCCTAGCGTCACCAACTTAAAAAATTTCGCTAAAAAAAATTTCGCAGTTAAATTAAGGTTAGGTTTTGCTATTAAGTTAGTTAAAGAAAGTTTTTCTAATACTAAAATTTCGCAAAGAAAACTTTTTGTTAATGCGCAGAAAGCAGTTTCGTAGGTAAAATGTTGAGTTGTGAACGATTTTTTGGTTTGTTTTTGACTTTTTGCTTTTTTTCGTGTTACACCGGATCTTGAATTCTGATTGGTTGGCGAAATAGTAGCGAAAAATTTTTTAGAGTGGTGATGCTAGGGGGTTTACAATAACTATCTTATTGCATGGTGTCTGAAGTACAACCCTGTATAATAACTATAATCAAATAAAAAAAATAGTTTGTTATATAAAACCTATGCAATAAGTATATATATACAGTATCTTAAAATATTTTACTATATAAAGCATTTTTTTTTACAGATCTGTATTACTTTGTAGACACCTTATTTTACCAACAACTAATTTACAGATAAGTATATTTTAGACAATCAATTTTCAGGTAAGTAAATTGTTTATAAAACAAACTATTGGTAAAATAAACTGTTTACAAAATACAGTATATTAGCAAATTTCTAAAACTACAATATTTTTACAAAGTATACAACTCTTACCAACGATTACTTGTATCAACTTTTTACCAAAAGCAAGTAGAAAACTCAAAACCAGAAGTTAACAACAACTTGAAGTTTTCTTAATATAAACTGTTGTTGACAAAGTTTTTAAATATAATATATTGAGAAGCAGATGTTTTGGATATTTTGCAAAGAGGTAAATCTCTTTTTTTTTTTAGGTGGACTCCCTTTTGCATTTGCATTCAAACTGGAGAAGTCTCTAAAAACAGTAAGTAGAAAGTAAACTCAAGTTTGTTTGAAGACAGAAAACTATAAAAAATTCTTAGAACAATATTCTCTGGTTGAAAACTTATAAAACTATAATACCTCTTTGTTGTTTTCTTTTTTTATAATTTTTGACAAAAAAGTAAGAATTTGGCTTACCTCTTTCAAAAGATTAACATTGTTTACTATTTTCATTTTTAAAAAGTCATGAGTTTTGATATAACAATTGGAGAACAAAACAAATTATATATAAAGAAGAAGTTCTAATAGATATCTAGATCAAAGAAAGATAAATAATACATATTATGTTTGGATCAGATATGGCTATTGAGTAGTTCTCTATTCAAAATATACTGAGAAAGTAGTCTTTGAAGATGGTAATCAAAAGAATCAATTCTGTTAACCTGAAATATAGAAAAATATGTTCGAAGTAAAGAACTGTAAGTAGCAGAACTATTTGTAATCAGAGTTAGCTTAAAGTGAAAGAAATTTTAGAATTAATGATCATATAATTAAGGCTTTAAAATCAGACATTTTAGGATTCAAGATGAATTTAATAAAGAGTTATAAACAAAAGTAATAATGTAGAGATATGCTTATTCCGAAGTCATATATATATAATTTCTAGACCTTAGTACAGATTAAAGCAGTTTTGTATATTTTTACTGTCTTAAGCTTTTTTGCTATGTCTCAATGTTCTAATATCTCAATATTCTGAAATATCTCAAGTTTCAAGTTTTAATAATTAATAAATTAATTTAAAAAATATATAATTATATATTTTTTTAGGTATTGAATATATTTTTAAAAAAATTAAAGCAGATTATCTTAATAAAATTTTGAGTAATTTTAATTTATAAAATTGTTTCAAAATGTCTCAAAATGTTCTAACTCATATTTTAACTATTCTATATACAACATTAGGTTAAAATATATTTTAGTATATAGTCTTCTTTTTCTTTTTGTTAGATAGCTCTATATATAGATTTCTACAACCATATCGATAGTTTTTATCTGGTTAGCAGATTTTATATCTGAAAATAAATTCTTATAGATTTTAGAATAGTTTTTAGATTTTTTTATAATTTAGTCATTTTCTTTGTACTGTTATAGAACAGTTTATTATTTTATTAGTTTATTATTCTGATATTGTATTTTATTATTTATTTTATTATTATT